TTTTATTTCCTGAGATTAAAAATCTTACGAGGAAGACAAGTTTAGCCCACACTCTACAAAAATGCAAAAGGAAAAAGAAGAGAAAGAGAAGGCACCACGTTGGTAATAGTTACTATCTTTGGAATGGGGCTGGAAGGATGGTCATTTAGTTTTCTTCTTTCCAATTTGAAATGTTCAACATTTCCATCATAAGAATTTATATATTTGGGGGATATCAAGAATGTAAATTAGATACTTCAGAGTCCTTTTGTGAGTCTTCACCATTTGAAATCATGGATGTGAAGTATGTAAGTCTGTTAGTGTTGTATGGTTTGTGGAACTTCAAAAGCTTCCATAAAGATAGTGAAGAGGATTTCAAAAAATAAGCAGTTCCATTGAAGACTGGCTTTCAAATTAAACAACTTTCCAGTTTATGTGATAATTTCAATGCCGGGATATAAATAGGTTTAAGTCCAAGAGGCAGAGTTAAAGGTGAGAAACTAGAATTAAATCAGTTATGAAACCACTTGTATTCTGAGATGACAGGACAGAAATAATTTCAGCAATGATCTTTTCTCTGAAATATCAGGTAATTAAAATTGAACAGACGACAATGATGAATCTCTTGAAGTAGTAAATCCCATTTTTATGCAGCACTCATCTTTAATGAGCAACAACCACCACAGGTTTATAAAGAAAAAATACGTCAAAGTAGATTGCTTTTTTTGTTCAGCATAAGATTTTAAAATTAGAAACAAAGAGCGACTGTGTTATTTCTTGATTGTAGTGGAATACTTGAATCTGTGTGGATGGCAGTATGGTACTTGGGATCCGGAAGAGAGGTTTAAGATGAGTAGAGAAGTATTTGTTCAGCGTGTCATGAGGCAGAAACTTAGTGATGTTTTTCAGGTTTGCTAGTTGAAATATTCCAAAAAAAAAGGAGCAAAATGAAGACAAAAGTTGAGTAATATTGTCTGTTCAGTGGTTGGATTTCTTCCCTTCAGAATAAAAGCAAAATGGAAAGCAGCCATTTTTAACAACAGCTGGAAGCGAGAATTCAGGAAACCACAGATGTGACAAAGAAACAATGCATGATACAGACCCTGCGGTGGCCCGTCCTCATGCAGCTCTGTGTAACTCCTCACCTTGTGCTTCCAGTACACACACAGGTGTTGGCTAGCATTATAGGCTCTTGGGAAATGTAGGCTATTGACATTAAAACACTATGTTTTTAGTAGTTCCTTTATTAGGGAAAGCATTTTTTATTTTCTTATCAACATGTGTGTGCATGGTATTTTTTGCACCTCTCTGTAGAAAATTTTTACATCAACCATTTGCCTATGCTGGTCCAATGGAAAATTATGTGATAAGATATGCACCCTCTTCCCAGTGTGTTGTGGGGGGTGTGTGTGTGCGCGTGTGTGTTGCCCAACATGGCAGGTTCTGTTAATCTGTTCCGAGTATGGAACAGTTTACTGTCAAAGTTTTAGAAGAAAAGATATATTAGCGTTGCTGCAAAAGTAATTGCGGGTAGGCTGGGCGCGGTGGCTCATGCCTGTAATCCCAGAACCTTGGGAGGCTGAGGCAGGCGCCTCACCTGAGGTCAGGAGTTTGAGACCAGCCTGACAAACATGGAGGAAACCCTGTCTCTACTAAAAATACAAAATTAGCCGGGCATAGTGGTATATGCCTGTAATCCCAGATACTCGGGAGGCTGAGGCGGGAGAATCACTTGAACCTGGGAGGCGGAGGTTGTAGTGAGCCGAGATCACACCATTGCACTCCAGCCTGGGCAACAAAAGCGAAACTCCGTCTCCAAAAAAAAAAAAAAAAAAAAAGTAATTGTGGCTTGGCTTTTGCCATTACTTTTAATAGCAAACACAGCAATTACTTTTGCACCAATCTAATAGTTAACTTTCAAAGTCTAAATCCAAGTTTAGCATTCCTACTGCTAAGCTAACCACTAGTCAGATAGAAATGCGAAAGCTGGCTAAAAATAAATAATGCTCAGTGAGTGCTTTCACCATGTTTGGAGCTTTGTTTTGTTTTCTTTTATTGTCTTCTCTACAAGCTCATCAAACAGCAGATCTCCCACAAGATGCTTTACAGGTTAAGGTGACACAGAGTTAACAGCCACAAGCTACCCTAGAAAGAGAGGCTACAAATGAACTGGTCATATTGATGGATTGACCTGTATCTGAGTGCTGGAAGCTTAGCATCTTGTACAGCCTTATTCCTAATTCCTTATGGTGGGCAGGTCATGGTGCCTCACCCCTTTAATCCTAGCACTTTGGGAGGCGGAGGAGGGTAGATTACCTGAGGTCAGGAGTTTGAGACCAGCCTGACCAACGTGGTGAAACCCTGTCTCTATTAAAAATACAAAAAAGCACCTGTAATCCCAGCTACTCAGGAGGCTGAGACAGGAGAATCACTTGAACCCGGGAGGCGGAGGTTGCAGTGAGTTGAGTTCATGCCACTGTACTCCACCCTGGGTGATGGAATGAGACTCTGTCTCAAATAATAATAATAAATAATTCCTTATGGAATTGCTAAGATGACAAAATGGGGCCTCTCCATTGTCAACTTCTCATTATTATTTTCTTGATTTTTCTGGGTTAGACATTTGGTTCATGCTCACCAAATATTCATAGAAAGACAAAATGCTGGCTGGGCGTGGTGGCTCACGCCTGTAATTCCAGCACTTTGGGAGGCTGAGGTGGGCAGATCATGAGGTCAAGAGTTCAAGACCAG